TGTGTGTGTGTGTGTGTGTGTGTGTGTGTGTGTGTGTGTGTGTTTGTGTGTGTGTATGTGTGTGGCGACTGAAAAGAATGAAAGAGATAGGTAAAAATGAATAGTGGACGAAAGAAGAGGGAGAGAGAGAGAGAAAGTAAGAGGGGGAGACAGGCAGATAACACACACGCACACGCGCGTACGCGTACACACCACCAATATTAGCAGAGGGGTTATCCTAAGAAGAAACTGTTTCTACTATACATCGATCACCGCGCGTGTAGATGCATGTGTGCATGATGCATGTGATGTATCGCTCATGCAGTGTTGTCCATCAACGCCAGCATGCGGCCTGCCTGCCTGCCTACCGACCAGCACCGCGCTCCGACTCACACCCCCCAATCTGTGTGGCGTCCTAGCAGCATCATTGGCTATCGTCTGCCGATTGAACGCGCCACGATCGACAAGCGTTCGATTTCATCTCCCATTGTTCACGAGAGAAATTCTTTGAGTGCATTTAAATTCTGGTTATTATTTTGGAGATTCTGGCTGAGGGGAGGCGACGCGGATGCGGAAAACGGTTTTGTCAAAAAAGTCGTAAACTTGAAGGTTTTCGGAGATTGGAAATTGAAGTTTCCGCGAATTCCGGACGCGAACGCACCGGTTTCCTGAGTTAAATTCCTATAAATACTTCCAATAAACGGTGAAGTCCACAAAGAGATTGAAAGGTCACATTACCGATATTAGTGAGTTGCGAATGGAAGCTGTGATGCGCCAGTGTTCCTGACGTCTCTCCACGCAACACAAGGCATTGCTAACTGTTGCGCACATGATAACGTAGAGCAGTCAAACCTGTGTTAGCGGATACCTCTATAGAAAGGACACATGACTATAAAAACCTCTATTTAAAGGACACATTACTATAAAAAAAACTCTATAGAAAGAACACATGACTATAAAGGACTATCTTGGGGGTGTCTCTTGATTAACAGTTACACATAAATACATTAACAATGGGACAACCTTCATGGAATAGACACTTTTCTATTAGCGACACCGCGGCAGTTTCCTGAATTAGCTGCAGCGCGCAGTTGGACTGCGCTAGGTTTGTAATAACGACGACACGTCGGGATTTCTTCGTACCCAGAGCACCGACTAGAGAAAGTAGGTCGTTACTGAACGTTCTATCG